ATGGGGGCCATCGGGGTTGGGTTTTTGGTGGAGAAGCCTCACTCCGCGCAAGGGGGATGATCGCACCACGTTGTGTTAAAATGGTCAAGCACCCTCGAGGCAGTTACACAGTGCTTATTACTGTATCTGGAAGCGAACACCAGAAAATACATTGAGTCATACGCAGCTGTCATCCGTACGCAAGGAAATAAGCACAAGATGCGAACACCCGTAGCAGGATGCAGCGCACCCTTCATGCGACTCGCCGAATACCTCACGGCGCTTCGCGCTTGGTGATGTGAGAGCCTGGTCCGGTGAGAACTCGGCGTGCTCCGTCCCGGCTTTGTAGGGATGCGAGGTCAATGGTCTAACGACTACGGCATGCACGACTATGAGTACACCCCCCCCCCTCCGGTGTTTGCCTATCGGGATTGGGTTTTCGTCGCTNTCCTTACCTCTGTTTTTCTTGTTGGCGGTAGCCATAATGGTGGTCGAGTAGATCATGTTGTGCTGGGTGGAAAGTCCCCACTCCGCGCAAGGGGGATGATCGCACCACGTTGTTTTACAATGTCACGCATCCTCGAGGCAACTTCACAGTGCTTACAACTGTCTCAGGAAGTGAAAGCAACCAGNAGAGCCTGGTCCGGTGAGAACTCGGCGTGCTCCGTCCCGGCTTTGTAGGGATGCGAGGTCAATGGTCTAACGACTACGGCTTGCACGACTATGAGTACACTCCCCCCCCACCCCCCCTACCCAACCGCCCAGCCCTGTTAAAGCGCTTGGACTCCTTACTGATGCTCAAGAATCCCCCACCACGCTCATGTCCGAAATATTCAAGTTTGTCCGCCCGGCACGGTGAAGCTTTGGAAAACCTTTCTTGCGGGCAAAGACGACGACTGAGTTTCGTCGCAATGCCGTCGCTGGCTGGTTCAATAACACCCTGCCGTCTTCCTCACTCGGGACCTCCCGCACCGTGCGTTTTGTTCCCTTGATGCCCGGTGCCGTCCAATCGTCGCCCCCTTTCCTACGACGCCGAAAAGTTGCCTTGTTCCGCGGCGCTAACGGCGGTGCCGTCGACTTGCTCTGCTGGTTTTGCTGGCGCTGCCATGGCCCGGGCAGGCTCGAGGATTACGTTGGAAAACGCGACGATGGACGACTGGATCCTTGGTGCTGCAGAGACAACCACCGGGCCGCAGAACGTGAGAGAAATTGCTTGCCTCCGTAGAATGAGCCCCACGACGACGGACGCCCGTGTTCACATCCAGGCGGTCGAAGGAGTTTCCGTGCGGCCGCTGTCTTGGCTAAATAGAAGTGATCATTGAAACACGCGGTAACTGCAGTTCTGGGCGAAAGGGTGTGCAAGAGATTTTTCTCCATACAACTCGGCATTTCGCGCGCGGTACAATGTCCCTCCCATGACGGCAAAGATACGACCCGCCCCGTCCAAGTCTTGCAGTAATATCGGGGTCTTTGACCCGAGGATAGCCGCCATGCACAACAGTTACCCTCCTCGCCACGCCGCCGCCGGCACCGTCTTTCCCGTGGTTGATTAGCAGAGACGAAGAACAAATCAACAAAACGCGTCCTCGCAGCCCTTTTTTCGTAGGCTCCCGACGCTTATTGCTATCATTTCTTGTCGAATGAAGCCCCCTGATCTTCACGGTTGAAACCCCTCATCTTCCCTCCGCCACAAGGGAAAACAACAACTACCAGAGATCGAGGCCCCTCCAAAGTACATTTCCCGTCCAACAAACGCGCGCCTGCTCAGGAAACCCTCGGTCTCCCTCTGGTGAGTGAGGGAATTTCCTCCTGGTGGATGAACCAGACAACAAGCCAGAGCGTAGCGCAAGGGGTCAGTGCGGCTACAGCGCCGGCGGGGGCTCCGGCGGCGGCAGGGACAGCCGAACAGGGCTTCGACACGTGGTTGATGCCATAGAGGACGCCCTTCGCCCTCCAGCATCGTGGAACCGACCGAGGTGTAAGCGGTCGAGCTCCTCTTCCTTCCGACCACAGCTGCGGCGGCGGCCTCGAGGCGAAATTCGGCCTTAAATAGCGCCCTCTGGTATTATATCATGATCACCATCGAGTAATATATCGTGATCCCCATCGAGTGGCCCTGGAGCACTCGGCACCCTTGCAGCACCCACGTCCTGGAGACATTTTCGTAATGCAAAGCTTGCGATGGCCCGATCGCGGTGGCTCGCGCGGCAGACGAAGCCGCTTAGCAACGGCGCGCCCCGCTGGACCCCCGGGGGCAATGCCTGGCCGATGGCCAGCACATGTTTCTCATCGTTCTTCGCCCTCCGTGGGTGAGCTCAGGGTGGCTGACGGCTGTCGTTTAGAAGGTGGTCGTTGGCGGCTTCATTCGACCCGATCGTCTAAATCAAGTGTTGGTTCTCTGTTTTCTTCCTTTCTTGTGGTTCTGTTCGTTTGACGCGGTGCGGTTTTTCCCAGGGCACGTCAGCACGCACTCCATGCCCTTGCCGCAACGCTTCTCCCTCCCTTGGTATTTTCGGGGGCTTGCTGTACCTCTCCCCCATCACTGTTTTTCGGCCCGAAGAGTTGGTGGGTGTTACGTGGTAGACGACGATTCGTGTTGTGGAACCGGTGCGGGATCGAAAACCTGATGGGGCGCGAGGTGAAGAGCTTGATGACTGCAATAATAGCCTAAGCCTCGGGAGGTGATTGTTTTTCTGTTTTTCGGCGATTAATAAAAATGACGAAAAAGGAACGGAGCCGCCACAAGGGAGTGTTTTCCGGGGATTTTTAGTGACACATTAGAAAGAAGGGCGAACACCACAATGTGGTGTTTTCGGCGTCGTTCGCGAAGAAAAGGATTCGAAACATGGGCGACGCATGACTGATTGCGTTGATTTATGAAGCTGAACCACCACGTGTAGCAGGTTGGCGTTGCAAGAGGGTTGGGCGATGATTGTACCGCAGGTGGTAGGAGCCCAATACATAAAACGGGCGTTGAAGCGACGTTTCTGTTCGGCGGAGCACGTTGAAAAAATTCGTTCAAGAAACGGCGGTTGGTTTTTCGATTTTCGGCAAACACCGGTGACCATGAACGAAAGATAGGCGTTTACGGCAATCGCCTCCGAGGCGCAACCTAGTCACCCGTATCTTTGTTTTTCTGTTTGCATTCTGCCTGTTTGATATATTTTTCTATTTTCGTTTTATCTTTGCTCACGTGGTTGGAGCTTCCACCAGAAGTGTGTGTGATGTCTGCCCACGCCCAACCCACGAACATGTGCAAGGGTTGTTGTGCGCATCAGGATGTTTTGGTTTGGGTGCGTTGCGTCGATGATGCACTGTCTGGGAGGGTTGCGTGCGGGTGGAACACTGTTCTTGTATGCTTTTTCATCAAGAAGACTGGCCGTTTTGTTCCCGTTCGAGTTCCGGTTCGTCGTGATCATCGTTCCTTGACCCGAGAACGAGGAGAGGTCAAGTTGTAGCTACTTGCACACACGCGGCACGGTCGTATAGGGAGCGAAAACCGGGCATCATGCTTTTAAGTCGTTTAACACTCAGCCGGCCATGGTCGATGGCCGGGTAGTACGTACAATGCCTCATTCTTCGACAAGTGTAAATAGGAGTAATGTATTCGCGTTTTTGTTTCGTAGGCGCGAGCGCCTTGTACATAGCGGGATGATAGATGGCAGCCCGTGAGCGACATAGAAACAACTGAGGTGTTTGTTGCGTGGGGAGGTTGTCGGAGCTTCAGGGCTAGCCTTCTCGTTGCCCCCCTACTTTACTTAGCATGAACCTTGCCAATACGCACAGTGATTGTATGTTTGTATGTTACGTTCCTTGATGTCGGGTAACATGTCGTTTTTGGACTGAATGGATTTATCGGTCCTCCTCCCACAGCTTGGGTAAGAATTTGTCCAGTTTCAGGATGAGATCAGCAACCAGCACAACAGCGGCCAAAGAGAACAAGCGTGCCGGGTGATTCGAGTCCCGCCCCGTGAAGATGGACTGTCTCACGCCTACGCCTACATTGACCCCCTGCTTGTATTTTTTGGACAAGAGAGTGAGCTTGCGCGAATCGTTTGTCCGCGTCTCATCGCGCGCTGGGCTACAGGGTCAGCCACGGATAGAAGCAAAAGCACGATTCAGATGTCCTTCGTGCAGGGGGGTGGCTATTGATCATTGGGGTACAGGGTACTTCCACCCTTCACATGGCGAAGAATATACGTAGAGAGAAGGAAGACTACGCTACGCAGCTCGAATATTCGAACCGAAGCCGGAGCGGGCAGAGGCCACTTTCATTGGCGTTTGCACAGACACACAGCCAGCCCCGGTTTAGGCAGAGGTATACCGTTCTTTCAGGCCCAAATCCCCTTCGCCCCTACGATGCGTGACTACACGGAAGTGTGAAGCGTCAGATGGGTTCCGGTCGGTAAGTAAGGGAAATGCACTTCTCGGTGCCGTACAGCTCTCCTACAATACGACGACGGGATTATTAAGACGAGTATCCTCAATTGTTTCCTTTACGTCCTCCCTTCGGTTGAGCGGAGGTTGCGCTGCAAGAAAGTGCTCGTCGTCGTTTCGGCTCTTCAACGGGTCACTTTTGTCTACCGGGGACTCCTCGACAATTCGTCTCCAATGACTCTGTAGACGATTCCGGTATACTTCCGCTAGAATGCACAGAAATCATTAACGGCCACAACAGAGCCGTCCTCGTGTAGCGCAGAGGAAGACGGACCCGCAGCAACCACAACGCTAACACAAACAACAAACCAACAACTTCAACAACCCCACCAACATAGATGGATACAGACAGACGCCGTCGGCAATCGCCTTGACGTGATGATGATGATGAACGTGTCACTCCGGCGTCGATTGAGATGCTGCCCCTCCTGCTGTCTTCGTGTTTCCTCGTGCATCACCATCACGCGGCTTCTTGATGGGGAAAGTGCACAACAACAACAACAACGGACTGCACCTTTCTGGTTCTGATGCAACCAACCTAGAAATGCAACCGAATTGCGCGGTGCGGTGGTGGAAATGGTGTCAACGACGGGCTCCGGTCTCACGAAGACCTCACCGGACCTGATGGTGAGAAGAAGAAGCTAATCATCATCCTGGAGCAGATTGCAAGACACATTTTATAATAGCTCCCTATGACCACAGGCAAACGAGACCAGACGGGCAAGTGCGGCCACGGTATAAAAGGGAAAGCGAGAGGGGGGGAGAGTCGTTTCACGTTACTGGGTGTTGTTGCACGGCGAGCGGGGAAAAAAAAAGGCGATGAACAAACTGTCATGACGGGCAGGGCACGATCTCTGGCCAGATAAGCTGGGAGTGAAGCAGGGAAACGTGGGGGACAAGGGAGAGCTATGGGTGTGGTCACCAAGACCCCGTCGATGTGTGGGACATCGAGGGAAGCACACTGTGCGTCAGGAGGAGATGCACATACGTTAAGGTCGAGTACGTACGTACGTACGTGGATGAGGATGGAAGGGAGTGGCCGGTGAGGGAGGCCATCGGCAGCATGATGTGGGTGTCGACTTTCTCGCGTCCAGACGTCTCGTTCGCCGTGCGTGCGGTAGCGCGCAACGCCCACGCCCCGGCGAAGAGGCACTGGGATGCCATCCAGAAGATCCTCGGCTACTTAAAAGGAGACGAGGGACCTCGGCATCACCTACCAACGGGGATCGGGGTTAGGGCTGGCCGTGTACGTAGACGCTAGCTACGCCGACACGGAGGATAGACGTTCGGTGTCAGGGTTGGCGACGACGGTTGGAGGTACCGTAGTCAGCCATGGTAGCAAGACGCAGAGCATCGTGTCTTTGTCTTCGACGGAAGCCGAGTGCATTGCTGCCGGGGAGGGTGTCAAGGAGGCGTTGTTTGTGCGTGCTGTGTTTCGTTTGTTGCCCCAGAGACCAGAGGTAGCAGCATCAAGGTCCTTGAGGACAACCAGGGGGCCATAGCGTTGGTGCAGAACCCCCTCAGCTCAGGTCGCACGAAACACATCGACGTGGGGTTTCATTTTATCCGCGGGTTGTTTAAGTCGGGGGATATTACGGTCAAGTTTGCTCCGGTTCCGACAACGGAGCAACACGCGGACCTCCTTACCACAGCCCTTCGCAGGGCCAGCCTGTAGTAGCACCGGCGCAAGTTGACGAATTTACCGGAGTAGCTGTAGCAGTTTTTGGTTCTTGCTTTGGACTCTCTAATAAGTGCGGCCGTTGTGGTCCGCTGTGATAGCGACGGTTTTTGTGGTGATAGGGGTTTATTCGAGGGGTTTTGCCCGGACACCGGGTTTCCCCTCCGTATATTACCATGTTGGTATTTCTGATGTATCCAGGGGCGTTCTTGCCCCATTGATGGTTAGTCACTTGCGTGAAGAACCAGGGAGGGTGTTCGTGGGTCTCCGAACATTGGTGCTGGATACATGTGCTGTATGATTTTGGTGTCACGCAGATTGGTAAGTAGCCGTTTGGTAGGGGGCACCGCGATGAGTCACGGGGCCCTCCTTGGTGTAGGAGCTGCCCATGTGGGGCTCCCTCTTTCGTCCGTGTGAAGGACGGTCGTCTACCTCTCGTGAAGATAATACATTACCAAAACAGTATCACCCGATAAACAAGTGGCGTAGACCGCAAACACTCTATGCTTCTGCTTCCCTCGCGCGCTGGCGCTTCGCGGACGCTTCCGCCTCCTGCGTGTGCCATTCCTCATGAACCATGTCGCCCCGTCCTCGACCTTGTTGTACCACACCTCCGGGTCCTTGGCGCTCTCTTTCCATTTCTCCCCTCCCTTTTCGTCTCCCATGTTGAAGGCCACGAGGTCCTCTCCAAGACGAGACACCCAGTCAGTCGCTCTCCTGCCCGCCCCGGTATNGGCCTGGGCATAGGACAGGGGGCGGTCTGAGCGTTTCTGCTTGCTCCAGCCGATGCACCGTGTGAGGGGTATTATTAACGACCAAAAAATCACGGAACATTTCACGGAATCGTTTTTTCTTGAACATATATGGAGGCGTTTTTCCCCGAAAACGTGAAAAGAAGGAGCTGGGATTTTGGGGGGCTTGATACTTTCACGGATCGGTGTTAAGCAGCCGCAACCTCCACGCGCGACGACGGCGCCGCGGGAGACGAAAACGTGGACGACACCTGTAAAGAAGGCGAAACCGGCGAAACAGAGCACGCTGAAGACGGTGATGATGACGAAGGTGCCGGTGGCGCGGAAACATTCGACGAAGATGTCGAAGCGAGCGTCGCGGATGGGCGCGGCGAATGCGCGGTGACCCGGGTGGTCTTGGTTTTTGTACGAGACCTNTGGGATTTTGGGGGGCTTGATACTTTCACGGATCGGTGTTAAGCAGCCGCAACCTCCACGCGCGACGACGGCGCCGCGGGAGACGAAAACGTGGGT